AAAAAAAAAAAAAAAAAAAAACTCTTAATATTTCATAAACAAAAACAGAGTAGAAGCAGAGGGTAGGGTATCCATCATTCCCTCTCAGTTTCAGTTACCTTAATTTGAAGATTGACCACATATCCCAGTACAACTCCTAGAGGTACCCCTATCACATAATAGCACCCTAAGTTCACTACAGCAACTGTTGTTTGCATTCCAGCGCCTATTGCCACTCCTGTAACGAACAATTAAAAAGCTTTCTCATTCATTAGTCTAACATATGGTAATCCCTGTTTCTCAATTCGAAACTTCAAAATTTAGTAGATTTTAAGTCTCTATTGTGAAAGAGGGAACCTGCTACAATGATCCTTTTATCTTCAGTTTGAAGGGGTTATATGCAATGTTTTAAAGAACGTTTTAAGTGTATAAATCTTAAACTACAACAGAACAATGTTTAATTTACCATAGTTCATGAAACAAAAATATAGTTCAAAAAAGGTGCTTTGCATGTACAGATTATAAAATGTAAACTATTGGATAATGAAGGGTCCTTTCATCCGATGATCGTTATTTTACTATTCGGATTTCAAAACACCAGGCTCAAAACAATTACCATGGTTCAAGTTTGTACATATAAGCAGGGATTGACCACCTTGATCTAGTGGTTCATGTCTTAAGCCTAAGAGCTCAATTGTTTCTAAGCTCAAAGTTCATGCTCAGGGCCATTGCTTGTGTATTGAGGGGAGACTACTGCATATTTTAAGAGAATTGGAGAACTTGCCTGAGAGGACTGGCTGAATACTATTGAACAATATGTTGATCGCAAGGAGATTTGAAAGGCTGGACACAGATTCTGCAACTTCCTCACTACTTGAAAACAGGTAGGAAATTTGGCGTCCAAATACCAAACACAGAACAAAGAAGAACAGTCCAATAAAAGTCGTAGTACTCAAAATGGTTTTTATAGAGAATTTCACAGCCTCAGCATTTCCCTTCCCCAGCTCATTTGCTACCCTTACGCTGCGCAGGGGCAAACCAATTATAGAATTTTGGGCATATTATAAATAATGAGAGGAAAAACTTAAGCAAGAAGGTAAGTAATTAACCAAACTTCTATTTACACTTTACACATTATTATATTTTTATGAATAATACCCTTAAAAATTTTTGTTTTCAATCAACAACTTTCATAATTTAAAATCAATAAAAAAACCTCAAAATTAAAAATCAAACTCACTATTGTACCTTTATTTTGTTGGTAATTTAAAATTTTTTATAAGTTTTAAATTATGGAGGATATTGAATGAGAGGAAAAATTATAAAAAATAATAACTACGAACAAATAATATGTAAGGTATAAATAAGAGTTTGGCCTAAGTAATTTTGATTTTACATTTGGCATATACCATGCAGCAGCCAAGAAGCCAAGGCAAATCATGAATTCCCATGCATTGATATTGAGGCTGCACAAGCGATCGAACGTAATTAACAGGTTGTTTTCTTAAATCGGACAAAAAAAGAACAGCATAATGTAGTCATAAAGGGATCTAATTGACATTGAAAAGGATTCAAGCGTTCTAAGAATAGTGTTGTCCAAAATGAAATGAACAAGTTCCAACAGTTACTTTTATTGGCTCTTGTGTGTAGTTGCTCTAACAGCCAACAACGGTTAAAGTTTTATCCAAAGACTATGAACTCAGCTTTTGTTTAATTTAACGATTAAAAATAACTAATAATTGTAATTGTTAATTGTTTGAACAATTAATATGTGTTAACAAATTTTTTTTTTTTGAACAGCAATATGTGTTAACAATTTAAAATCAATTTATAAGTTGATGTTTTTAAACAACTAAACTAATTATTTAAAGAAACAAAAAGCTTACAAATTGATAAAATCATCCAAATCAAACGCACTCTTAACCATTGGGAAGAACTGTCTGTTAATTAGGAGGGCACTGTTCATCTAAAAATGCCCTCTAAATACAAAACTAAAATAATTTATTTAATGCATTCTCAACTCTACCATTAATATGCCGTGGGCTGACTTTGACATTAAGTTCAATATTGTAATTTTCAAAATAATAAAAAAAACCAATATTATAATTACAAAAGAAAATAAGAAGTTTGGTGACCCAATTTATAAAATTAAGAGATTACGTAATACTAAAGAAAAAAACAGAAGGTGGATCATAAATAAAGGTAAAATTGAGTACCACTTACGCAATTTATTCAATTACAGGTTCCTTAACGAGGGAGGAGGGGGGGACTTACCAAATGGATAAAGCAGAGATGGCAACGGTTGCATTCTTCATATATCCAGCCAGCAACACCAAAATAGAGTTGTACCACAGTTCCAAGCTATCAAAAACCGAAAAATTATCAACCAAATTGCCCTCAAAGAAGGAGTATACCATGGACATTATTGTTTTACATGGTCAACACCTTTTATAATTTTCACTCTTGATCTACACCCTTCATAATTTGAAACCCATAAAAAACCCAAAATTAACAACTAAAATCTCTATTTACATTCTGACTTGATTTGTAATTTGGGGGTTTTTTTTTTTTTTTATAAATTTCAAATTATAGAAGATGTTAATCGAGAATAAAAATTCTATACGGTGTTGACCACGAAAAACAATAACGTTTAGGGTGTAAATGAGGGGTTTGGCCATTACAAAAACCCTCCAATTTCAATTTGGTCTTCAAAGGTTTCTAGAAACCTAAAATACCCTCTAAAAGGCTGAAATATTAAAGTTGGTAGCCCTAAATTCACTTGCCTCAGAGAGTACCAGGGATGGGATGACTTTGGAAGGTGTTGGGCTATACCTAACATCTTATTGATAGTTGTCATTTTCAAATTTGTCGGCCTAATTGAGCTTGTTGTTCCAATTGGATTACTTGCAAAAGAGAGTCACGTGGCACGGTTCTACTTCATAATTGCTCAAGTGATTGTGTGCAAAGTGCCTGCTTTATGAGAGGTTTTGAAGCTCAGATCTTGGAAATGATACTTGGGTATTTAAAGGGTTAATTTAACAAATCATCTATTAATTTTCATATTCTTTTTAGTTTCATCTATTATCTTTAAATTATTTTAGTTATGTCTATTATTTTTCACATTTATTTTAATTTAATCTAATCCGTTATCTTTAACGCAAATATCCGTTATCTTTAACGAATTTTCTTATTCTATAAAAAAAATATTAAGTCTTCTAATTATATTTCTTTTGATCTTTTAGTCATTAAATTTATATTTACCGTAAAATTAGTTTTTGTTATTATTTTGTTAAATGTGTTCTTCAGAAAATTATTTTATAGAGTGGACTGTATATAGTTCATCTTGTAAAATTATCTAAATACCTTTAATTTTATTTTTATATTATTTTTTTCAGAGATATTTAAATACTTTTACAGGACAAACTATATTTAATTTGCCATGTACTGTAAAACATACTTTTAAAACTTCTCGTTTTAAATTTTCTAAGTTTTTCTATTTGAATTGAGTTAGTTGTTCAAGTTTATTATAAATTCTAATTAATCTATCTCTATAAAATACTCATGAAATATTTATTAGGATTATAATGTCATTTTTTCAAAACTTAAAGGATTACTTTTTCCATTAAATCTAACAAAATTTTGTATAGTAGACTATTTCAAAATATTTTCCAAAATTTATAGACCATTTAGAAAGAAACTAATTAAACTTTATAGATTAAAATGAAATTAAACTGATAGTTAATAGATTAAAAATTAAATTAAACCAATATTTAAAATAAGAATATATTAAATCCTTAATATGTGAAAAATTATTATTTTTTAAATATTAGAATGTCTAATCTCAACTGCACAAAGATATAATTCACATAAAACTAACTACATGTTCCACCTATATTGTGACAAAGTGTGACAATCTTCTAATAAATCGTTAAAAAAAAAAAAAAAAAAAAAAAAAAAAAGGAATCAGATTAAATTACCACAACATGATACCAGAGGACAAGGAGAGCTTGATCACAGGGACAATGTCTTGGAAGGCAGCTTTACTGAACCCTTTCCATGTATTCCGACACCACCCTCCAAATATGTACACGAACTCGCCGATGACCGTTGACCAACCAGAGATATTCAAGGCGGCCATTGCTCCGTTGACTCCCCAGTCAAGCTTGTAAACAAAAATCCATGAGAGCAACAGATGAGGCAGGAAGGAAGCAGCGCAGAGCCAGCCAATGATCATGTTCTTCATCTGCGCTTGCAAGTACATTTGGATTGTCAGTGCGAAGACAAAGTTGTAGAGGAAGGGTATGAACCAGAGCGAGATCGGCCCTGCCGCCACTGCTATCTCTTCCTCCTCACCCAGAAGTCTCAAGATTTGTCTGGCAAATACGAAGAACGGAACTGCCAGTGTCGCCACTACACCGTCAACAATCCAAGACCTCTGCAAGTAAATTCCCATCATGTGGTAGTGTCCGGCGCCGTATGCTTGGCCGCATAATGTTTCGGTCGCACTTGACATGCCGATCTAATTAATTTCACATAGACAATAAACCGTTAGTTTTAGATTGACAGGGGATTGAATATTAAATGGATTAAGACAACAAAGTTAACTTTCTCACTTACAAGTTGCAATAACTACTCATTGCGTATTTTTTTATAAAAAAAAAAATCGAAGTTGGGAAAATTCGTGCTTACGAGGATTCCATTGATGAAGCGTAGGAAAATGCTTTGGACTAAGGCGAAGGTAGCGAGTTGGATATCACTGACATGACCCAGGAAGGACTGAGTGACGATGATGAGACCGAAAGAAGTGACTCTGGCGATTATTCCGGGGAAAGCGATTCTCCAGATGGTCTTTGATTCATTCAAGACCTTCGTCCTCAGATTAGTGGTGTTTTCTTGTTCTTTGGTAGTTAGTAGCAACCTCTCTGCAAGATTGTTCTCCATGGCCACTGTGCTTGCTATACCTGCAGAATTTATAAATGAGTCCCAAACTTCTGAAAAGATTAGTAAATGTAATTCTTCATATTTAAAGACGCTTATTATAAATTTACAACCACCGGCAACATAAGTATATTATTGCTGAAGTTTTATTATCCTCCCTGTACTCCTTTTTCTTTAAATAATATATATTT